ATGCAGTACATATGGATTTGATCCATGTTATGCAGTCTGCTTTCATCTTCACAAAAATCATGAGGTATCAAGTTATGCCAAGATGATTAGTGAGATGTGAAAATGATTTTATATAAATAAATCATTTATTAGCAATGATTAATTGGCATGAGAAGATGTGTACTTCCCTAGAGTGGGTGTGCGGTTTCAGCGTATCAAAGGCCAGAAGTGATGATCATTAAAGAAAATACAAGTTACAGGATGAAATTCGTACAATACTTTTTATTTGTTTCGGCCTCGACATGAATATTGCAAGTTTTATTTTATTTATTGGCTAAGTTCTGGATTATAATTCCAACATGTACAGTGGATCAAAGAGGGCCCTGAACCCCTGAGAGTATCAGAACATAACTCATGCATTTGGGGAGGCAAATTCTTGTTTAATTTTGCTTTTAGAGAAATATTATGAAAGAAATAATTTGTCATGCTGTCATGGTGAATCAAAATGGTGTTCCTTGTGGGAACATGGTTAGATCACAAGAATGCAAATGAGAAGTCATAACAAATGATTTTGCTGCGCATAAATTGAAAAAGCCACATTAAACACAGAACAAAAAAATCTAATGTGCACAGAAAATACAGGCAGAAGATATCACCACCCTTCATGAAAATACAGGCAGAAGATATCACTACCCTTCATTCACTTACGGACCCAAAATCAACTGAGTAGAACCAAGTGTATTTATATATTTATATAACAATTTGAATAAAAGGGTAGATTAGAAGACACCTTGTATAGACCATGTCTAACAATTTGAATAAAAGGGTAGATTAGAAGACAACTTGTATAGACCAATTGTTATGCTACTACCAATTTACTAATGTTCTACTGTCAATCTACCATTATTATTGCTAATTTGGTTAAAGTTCAATTATAAATTATAGGTCACATATACAAACTTTTATATCAAACGCCTCCACTGAGGTTCAAACCTATAACCTTCCACATATGGGAGCAACTTAATACCGTTGGACCATAAGGTCCTTAGTTTATTATTGCTAATTTGCTATAATAATAAATATCTTAACAGAAAGACTACGGCAGGTCGAATTTGAAACTCGGAGGATCACGAAGGATCGATTTGAAAGTTTAGGATTAAACGTGGCAAAATCACCAAACTCGGGTGACCTTGGCTTGCATTTACTCTAAATTAATAATCATAAGTGTTGTTGTTACTGTTTAGTGTTTAATTTTTTATTAAGATTTGTTTTTACTGAATATATTCAATGAAGTGTTGTGTTAGTTCTTACTTCTTAATGTTTTAATATTGACTGGTAGATACTAGATACGTAGATAGTTAGATTATAGAGTTAATACCATCTAAGGTCCTCCGAGTATAGTGGTTTTGCCACGTTTAGTCCTAAACTTTCAAATTGACCATCTGTGGTCCTTCGACTTTCAAATTTAACCATTCCTGGTCCAAGTTAACCACCCATGGTCCTTCAACTATTAAATTTTAACCAACCATGGTCCTTTCAAGAGGACCACGACTGGTTAAATTTCGAAACTTGAAGGACCATGGGTGGTTAACTTAGACCCCAATGGTTAAATTTGAAAGTCGAAGGACCACAAATGGTTAATTTGAAAGTTTAGGACTAGACGTGGCAAAATCATTATACTTGGAGGACCTCAGATGGTATTAACTCTTAGATTATATATACTTAAAGATGACAATCCCTATGTGTTTGATTATAAAATATTTATCCAATTATATAGAATGAGAAGCAATAATACAACTGAGTCTATTCTTGTACAAGTTAACGAACATAGCTTCGTAATAAGTATGGACTAAAGAAAAAACAGAAGGTATGAATTTTATTTTATATTACAACTTATTACTTTAATATTTATGATTTATGAATTATGAGCACTTGAACTTGCAATGGACTTAATTATTTATTCTTAATTTTTTTCATTGTGTAGGAGGATTCTGGACAAGAGGAGATTATGTTGAAACCATGACTTTGTTTCATTTTATATTTAAATACTATTATGTTTACTTTGTTGTTATTATGTTTGCATTGTGGACTTAAATATGTGTTATTGTTAAAGTTGTGAGTTGTGATGGACTTTTGTATTATGGACTTGTGACTTGTGGTTATAAACCTGTATGTTTGAATTTTGTATTATGAACTTCTACTTATTAAACTTGTGTTGTTAGAAATTTTATTATAAAATATGAACATATAATTTTGTAATTTTGTGATTATTGGTTGATTGTAATTTAATAATATAAGACATGGATTTTTGCATTTTGTGATTAGGTATTTTTTATAAATTCTTTACTTGTTTTTATTAAAAGGCTTTAAGATGTATACCTTAAATAGGCTCAAAGCTTATTTAAATATACTCAAAGCCTATTTAGGATCTACTTTGAAGCCTTTTAAAATAATATTTATTAAATAGGTTTTTAAAAAGGCTTCAGGCCATTGAGCCTAAAAAAAAAAAAAAAAGCCTAAATATAGGCACAGGCCCAGGCTTATGCTTTGGATGTTCATAACAGGCTCATGACCAATTTTCTAAAGGCCAGCTCGCCTTTGCCTATTTCCATCCCTAGCTGCGGCGGTGGCGGTTTAGTAGGACCTATAAAATTGTTGTCATCAGTGAGCAATTCTAGTATGACAAACTGATTATAGATCGAAATAGGCGGAGCGATAGAAAAAGATAATACTCGGTGAGAATGGACATTGTTGCCTGGGTTTGTGTAGTCGAAAAAACATCTTCTGATATTTGTAGTGTAGATCCATCAATTGGTATCAGAGCTGTGTTCACTGGTTTGAGATGTGGTTAAATGGTTAATGTCCATATACTTAACCCACTAGACTATAAGCATAGTGCATCGCTGAGATCCATCAATTGATATCAGAGCCAAGGTTACGAGTGTGAGATGTAGTTAAATAGTTAATGTCCACCTACTTGACCCACTAAAAAATAAAAATAGTGCAGCGTTGAGATCCATCAAATGGTATCAGAGCCGAGGTCATGGGTTCAAGATATGATTAAGTGGTTAATGTCTCTTAATTATTACCAATTAATTTTAAGAAGAATATGACAACCAAATAGTCAAAAACCTCTGTGATTAAGACTCATTAACTTACAACAATCATATCCTAATTTGGTTTAATTTATGTTTGTCCTAAATTAATCTAATTAATGCTTAATGATTCTATTATTTCTGTACATTAATGCTTAATGATTCTGTAAATATATGCTTAATGATTATGTTATTGCCCTAATATATGCTTAATGCTTATGTACCATTTCTGATGCCCCAACAGAGCTTGATACTTGAACACTCGAAAATGTACCATTTCTGAATTCTGATGCCATTTGATGAACACATTAAAGAATAATGTAATTATGGATTAATTAAACATTTTCAATGTACTCAAATGAGAATTATGATAGCCGCATAAGTCCTACATTGTCCTCTCTTCGATCACTTTGATAAATTAATGCTTATGTTGGTTGTCACTTTGTCACTTTGAATTTATTTTCCCTTTGCTTCTTTGCCCCCCGAAGAAAAATCCTGGATTCACCACTGAGTTTAAGATATAATTAAGTGGTTAATGTCTCCTACTTATTACCAATTGATTTTAAGAAGGATATGGCAACCATATAGTCAAAGACCTCTGTGATTAAGACTCATTGACTTACAACAGTCACAACATAGTGCCGCGCTGAGATCTAATACATATTAGTCCAAAATTCACCTAACTACGAAAAACTATAACCTTATAAAAATAACAAATAATTCAATTATTCATGTGTAGATATGAAAATATCAAAACACTCAATCCCATCAAAAAATAAAAAAATGGAATGCAAATACTGATCCAAATGAAACAAATAAACTCTTTATTTTTCTGTTATTGTTTTGTTTATGCATGTAATGACCATTTTTATTTATCTTAGCAAATATCATAGTCCAATGGGAGATTATAGAGTAACAGACTCCGGTATGTATGTGTAGTATAACCTCTAAAGAATGTAATCGTCGACATCTTCAAGCTCCACAAAGATCCGACAAACGTATATTGCTCCACTGTAAAACTTTTGTACAGCTCTAGAGCCCATGGATGCGGTGGCGGCTGTTTTGTAGGGACTATGAAATTATTGTCATCGTCGAGCATTGCCATTATGGGAAATCGATTGTAGATCAGAAAAAGCGAAGCGATGGATAAAAAAGACAATAATCGGTGAGAATGGACATTGTTGCCTTGGTTTGTGTAGTTGAAGAACATCTTCTGATATTTGTAGTGTAGATCCATCAATTGGTATCAGACACTACAAGAAAAATCGCGAATCGCGACAGAATTTTTCCGTCGCGAATCGCGTTTCGCGATGGAATTTACTCCGTCGTATATCAGCTTGTCGTATTTTGATAGACGACGGAATAATTCCGTCGCAACTTTTGGCGACGGACTTCGCGACGTAGGTATTTCGTTGCAATTCCGTCGCTCATTTCGCAACGGAAATGTTTTCCGTCGTAATTCTATCGCATCGTTTACAACAAATATTCCGTCGCAAATCTTATATTCCGTCACGTTTTTGAATTATTTTAAAATAAAATTATGATTTTAAATAGTAATGAATGTTTTTAAAATATTAATATAAAAAATACTATTAATTTTAAAATAAAAGATAACATAATTCTAAATTAAGTTCAAATAATAATACATTACCAATTCACATTTCGTACATAATATAATCGTCAATTCAACTTTAAACAACATAATAATACATTATCAATCAACACTTAATACATAATAATAGCCAATTCAAGTCTAAACAACATTAACAAATAACCATTAAAATCAATTGATTTGAGATGGAGGTGATGATGAAGTACCCGCTCTCCCGCCATCAATAGCATCAAGTCATTGTTGCATAAGGAGAATAGTGGCCTTCAAACTCTGAATTTCATGTTGTACATTTGCAAAAGTAGAAGTAGCAATTGATTATCATCCACCTGCTCCCCATTTTATGCCAACATCTCCCGTTGCAATTCAACTTGTTCCTAAAATATGTAAGAGATTTAGTACAAAATATATGCAAAGGCATATATATTTTAAAAACTTAAAATAAATTAAACTTACATGAATTTGTTTGGCTTTTTCAGCTATGAATGTTTATCCACCGTGTTGTTTGGTATGTGTATGCTTGAATAGTTCATAATACGATGGACGATGACCCAATTGTCCTTCCTACAAATTATATTTAACAAACAAAAGCAATTATTAAAGTGAGAAGAAATTCGACAGAGTTTCCTTTGTATATAAGATTATCTCCCTGTTCAATATATAATATAATTCAATTAAAATTTCCAACATCAATCAATAAACACAATAAAACACAATCAAACAATCAACAGAAAACATAAAAAGTTGGGGTCAGGTAAGATGCAACCCTTATAGCATGTCAGGAAGAAATAGTAGAAATCAGTGAAATACCATTATTAGAAGGATATCAAACAAATAAACATATTGAACCGGTCAGAAAACCTCCAATCTCATTTTAATAAGCTCTTTATGTCTCCAAATTGATGAAACTCTAGTAAGGCAATAACACAAATACTTTGACAGAAGAAATTAACTCCCCAATAAAAGCAATTACAGACCACATAATACAAAACACATAATACTTATAAGTTATAACTAAAACAATTCAAATGAACTTACAAGTTGAGCTGCAACTTCTACATCCAACTTCTATCCATATTACTCATTTATAGATTCCTACATCCCCTAATGATTATGCAATGGAAAAAGCATCAAAGAAGCAATCAAATTAGTTCTTATTATCGATATGGCATTATAATTTAATGATCTTTTTTTTCACATTATTAATCATTTATTTAATCTCAATATTCGACTTATATACTTATAATAGATAGAAGTAATAGAAACAACTCTTAAACCTAGATAACAGTAAACAATATTTGGCATATAAGGGTGGTGCATGGAAATGTTGTTGATGAATTTAGCTTTAAACAAAGAATTAAGGATGAAATATATTTCAGTGTTGATTCAGGATGAAATCTAATTCACGGTTTGGACTTAGGAGTAGATAGTTCTGAGGTTTTCGACACGCACAACCTCTTCACAGTGGATACAAATACACTGCAAACAACATGTTAAGATCCTTGAGAATTCAGAACAAACATCCTTATTCTTGGATTGTTAAAGAGCAGACTAACATGAAGTTTTCATTAGCAAAATAACTACTAAAATGAAGCTTCCACAACATAATGAACTCAACTCTTGATGAACTCTTGTAGTATATTTAGTTGTTCTTTTCATTCTTTATTAGCATTTCCTTCTATTATTCATGACTAATAGATGCACCCTCCTCTTCTCCTTAATACTTCTCAAACAAATCAAAATTTAGATTATCCCCATTTGAGGTCACCTTTTTATATTGGACTATTTTTTCTGCCTATTACCATGTCCTTCCCTATTGTTCCTACCAAAGTCAAATCTCGGTAAATAACTCTTAAAAAAAATATTTACAAGTGAAACTAATTAACCTAAATATGAACATGCCCAATACATAACAGACACCAGAAGTACTCTATTCAAAATTTCCTTCATTTTGTTGACCAAAGCATATGTTCGTTTATACACTTGACATACATTCTTACTTTTTATCATCAGATTACATTGGAACATTCTGCATAAATCCAACATTTTAATATGAAGTTCTCATCATTCTTCCTCATTCCTTTTTAATATTTGAAAAACCAAACAACTTATATCAAATCCATTTTACTATTTACACTCCTGATGGAATTAATTAAACCGGGGGTCCGACTTAACTAACCCGAATGAGAATATGAATAATAAAGAAATGGTACGAATGATATAGCGAAGGCCGTGAGACCGTAAATTGTATTAAATGCCGTGGAATTAGCTATTACAATGATTCTTCAGTACAAAGTGTGTTTGTCAAGTAGATCGTGTCCTAACTGGACAAGGTGGGGGGTTTTTATACAACCCCTGCCCCTAACCGCCACCCCCTAAAGCGGGGGGTGGTTAGATCCGAGTTGACCGCGCCCGGCCTCGCGACCGGGCCGTGCTGTGGGGCCAGGCCGAGCCCGTCATGGGCTCGGGCCGAGCCCATTTGGAGGTCGGCCCGGCCTCCGACGTGGCCCGTGCGGGGGCCACATGGCGAGGCCCCGTCCGGGGCGGGTACGTGGCGCCGCCCCGGGCCCCGTTCTTGTCCGCGCCCTCGGGTCGGTGCGGGTCGGTTCCTAATATATCCGTCATCAGTCCCCCACTCTCCGAGCTGCGAGTAATCGTCAGTGAAGGAGAGTAGACGCTCTGGCCGACCTCCAAAAATGCCGACCCCGAGACGCCCGCGTCCCCGCGTTATAGTTGCCGTCCAAGTGTGCTTCTCGCGATAATGATGAAAAAACGTCCTCCGGAATATGACTCCTTCATCTGCTAGGACACATACACAGTAGAGTCCTCTTAGGTATTGGTCATCTTCTCCAAGTCAACCAATCACATCCATCTTTTCAACCAATCACATCCCTCTTTTCATCTTCCCCCCCCCCCCCCCCCTTTTTTGCATTTTGAATTTCAAAACTCCCCCTCTTCCTATCTCCCCCTCTTCTATATAAACCCCATCCCTTCTTTCATTCTCCACTTTCCATCACTCCAACACCCATCCTCTCCCTCAAAATTCCGGCGAGCCCCCCCCACCGGATTCCGGCGACACCTCCAGCGAGCCACCACCGGATTCCGACGAGCTCGCGGCAACAAGCTCCGGCCGACCTCCCACTACCCCGTCGCCGAGCCCCGTAGGCCCGAGCGTGGTACGCCCCTCTCTTTTCCCTCTTCCTCTTTTTTTTTTTTTTCGCCATGGTGCTGGGCTGCTCCGGCGCCGCCGCCGCCCCGTCGCGGTCGCGCCACGGTGGCGGGCTGCTCCGTCGTGGTGGCGCTGTCCGGCCACTGCTACGGGGGCGGCTCGCCAGCCACGCTCCAGTGGTCCCCGGCCGACCTCCCGGGCTCAGGCCCCGGCGAGGTCGTGCCGGCCTCGGGGTCGGCCGGCCTGCCCTGTTGAGGTAGGCCGACCCCGTTCGCCGAGGCCATGCCGGCCTGCTGCTCTGCCAAGGTCGGGCCGACCTTGACCTCGGCCTAGGGCCGAGGTCCTCCAACTTGCCCCCCCCCCCTCCCCCCCCCCCTTTTTTTTTTTTTTTTTTTTTTTTTTTTTTTTTTTTTTCTTGAACACGCCGTCCATCACGGCGCCGGTGCGCCGGCGTCGTCGCCACGGGGTGGGCCTACAGCCCGCACCTCCGTGGCCGTGCCGCCTCCGGCGTTGGGCCGCGCCGACCTCGCACGCCGAGGCCGTGCTGACCCCGGTGTCGCCCCGGCCTCGGTGTGCCGACCTTGACCTCGGCCTTGGGCCGAGGTCCTCTAAAACCGCCCCCCCCCTTTTTTTTTTTTTTTTTTTTTTTTTTTTTTCCGAACACGCCCCGGTCTTACGCCCCTTCTTCTTTATCTCGTAGGTTTAGTTGGTGCATGTACACTTCTTCCGGTTCCTTGGACGATTTTTTGGACTCCGTAGACACTCACATCCTCCCCATGGACGAAACTAGCGACCCCCCCACTCCTTTTCCTGCTCATTCCCCCTCTGGGGAGGTCACCATGCCATACGAGGGTCCGTTGGACGCCCATCCTCCCGTCATGGAGGATCCCTTCGCGGTCCCGTACGAGGATCCCGTCCAGTACACTCCTCTGGAGACACTCGTCGTGGCCTCGACCTTGGCTCAGACCTCTGTGCAGGAGTTTGAGGAGGCCAAGAGCTATGTTGGATCTGCGGGCGAGGTACGCCTGCCTTCTCCGTCGGGGAATGTCACCCGAGCCGCCGACACCCCTCTTCTTTGGGGTTCACGTGCAGTCCATGTACCTTGGCTTTCGCTTCCCTATTCATCCCTTCGTCGAATCCTTCCTCAACCACTACGGCATCGCACCTGGGCAGTTGGTGCCGAATGCTCATTACTTACTTCTTGCCTTCTTGCTTCGCTGCCACACCATTCATGTCAAGCCCTATATGGATCTCTTCCAGAGTTTGTTTCAAGTCACCTCGTCCTCCAGCCAGGCCAGTAAGGGGTTTGTGGGTATAGCGGCCCGGGCGCGTATGAAGACGTTCCATGACTTCAATCAGACCAACAGAGATTGGAAACCGCACTTTGTCTTCATCTCGGTTGGTGATCGTCGGCCGTTCCTATCTTGGAACAACAGGTTTGTGCGCCACAGGGCCCCGCTCCAGACGGCCGCTCTTGCCCGGGACGTCCATGCTTTCCGGGGCGATCGGGGAGAGATTATAATTGGCGAGATGATTACGCCGGAGAACATGCGTAGTCTGGGCTTTGTATCGGATGGGCCGCTACCACCTCGTATTTGCCCGCGCCTTCTGCGTACGCCCCAGTCGGATGCACGTCCCTTGATCGAGTTGTCGGACGATGAGCCCCCAGAGCAGTCCCCGGGATCCTCGGGTTCTTCGGGCGAGGTCTTTGCCGAGCCCAGGTCCTCCGGGTCCGCTGTCGGCCCTTCGCGTGCCTCTACTCGTGGTTTGTTCCCCTTTCCTTCGCTGGCCCGTCGTTTGTACATATGGCTTATGGATTAACCCTTGCTCGTCCCCTTTTGCAGCGAGATCTCCCATCATGTCTTCGTTCCGTGAGCGCCTTGAGCGTGTCGTGGCGCGTGGCCCCATTGCGAAGAGACAGAAGGTTACCGCGCAGTCTGGCGTCCCCCCTTCCGAGCCTGGTGCGCCACCACCGGGAGGGACGCGGCCGCAGGTGAGTCGCCCCCCTGTACCACCGGCTATACCGCCCCCGTCGCCGCCTGCCGAGCACGCGACGCGGAGCTTGCCCCCTGTCGTTCGAGAGGCCCTCCGTACCATCGAGGTATGCATTCTTGCTTGTGACTTCCCTTATTTCACTTAGTCCTCGATGTTGCTTTGTTATGATTGTGTCTCTTCTCAGGGTTGGGCCGTGTCCACCGTGGCCCTTGTCGAGGATGAGCAGGGTCACGCTCGCGAGCTGGTGCGAGCTTTGGAGGCCGAGACCAGGCGGGTCGACGAGGCGGTCAGGCGTGACGCCGAGTCCCGGAAGGCCTTGGAGGCGGAGCGGAAGAGGCATGCGGAGGAGCTCGGACAGGTTATCCCCGCCTACAAGAAGTCTGATGAGTTCGAGCGCGACGCCGAGGAGTATGTCTGTGGGCGCAGCGGCGATATAGTCACCTCGTGGCTAGCTAGTGATGCCGGGAAGGAGACGATTGCGGAGGAGAGTGCTATGGCCTTCCAGGTGGGCCGATATGCTATGCAGCAGGAGATCTACACCGCCCTTCGTCAGAAAGGAGATGCCTTCGACCCGGTCGTCCTCAAGCTGCCGGCCGAGATGGAGAACCCCGAGCCAGTGACCCCTGCGGCGGACTTCTCACTATCACCCCTTGATCGCGCCGACGAGCCTGTGGAGTTGGTGGCCTCCTCGGGAGTTATCTCCCCCACTTTGCTGAGCGTTCATGTTCCTGACTTGGATGAGGGGGCCGAGGGAGTGACCGTTTCCGTTGCACCGTCGACTGAGCTGCCACTGGCCGCCGCGCCGGGTTCGGATGAGCAGCCTTGATTGTGCTCGTTTCAGCTCATTCCCTGTTTTGGGTATCTGGGCATAGACTTTAGACGTGTACTCTT